TGACTTCTGAGGAAATTTTAGATGGCACTCATCATCAGAAAGGTTGCCTACCCCTGTATTAAGCTGTTCAGATATTGACATGTTCAGTTTAAAGCCTTTGAGAAACTTTGAGGTCCTTTTAATTTAGATTTTCTTTTTATTTAATATATCTTGAGATGTTTTGAGTTTAAATTTCAGCTCAGTGAAGTACTTTAACAACAAGCTCTTTTTTAGTAACTTATCTTTCCTGTAGAACTCTGCTCCAAATAAAGAATTTGTGTTGATTGTTAGTTAAACATTTACAAATTAATATTGTTTGTATAGACAGCAACTTAAAAAAAAACCAAAAAAAACAAAAAAAGCTGCAGTGTTAAGCGGTGTGGCTGAAAAACTAGGATTCACCTTACTTTTGTGCTGGTGCACCTAAGAAAAAAAGTTAGGCGCACCAGTGCAACCGTTGCAAAAAGTTAGTCTAGAGCCCTGCTACTTGTGGGGAACAACGGTCACTTATGGGGACGAAATGCCCATCCCCACAAGTTTGAAGGCATTTTTGAGGCTCAAAAGTGTGTCTTTAGTGTTAAGGTTACAATTAGGTTATAGTTAGGTTTAGTCAGAGGGTTAGGATTAGGCATTCATTTTTCATGGTTAGGGTAAGTGGATAGGGAAAGGATTATGTCAATGAAATGTTCTCACTAAGATACGAAAACGAATGTGTGTGTTTTTATGAATGTTAGACAAATGGCATAGGCATAGATAAAAGTAGTGTATGGATGAATGAGACTTGTAGTTTAAAGTATTTTAAGTTACCATATCTTTTACTAGCAAATGTGTTTAAACTAAAATATTTTCTTGCAGCAGTAAGTCCTGGCAACAGAAAGATAATTAGAAGCTTGTCGCTTGTCAAATCCTTACCAGACTGTATCCTTCACTTCCTATTGTGTTATTGCAAGAATCCACCAAAGTAAGAGAAAGATGCCAAAATGGTTCATCTTTGTCAGTCACTGAAGAACACTTAGAGCAAATGGTTTTGTTCGTTAATACACCATGGAAGATCTGGAAAAAAAAAAAAGTACAAACACCTGCTCATTTTATTTAATTTTAATTTAACTTACATAGCACTAATTTACAGCAAAGGTTGTTCAACGTTCTTTAAATTGTTAGGTAAGTAACCTGAAATTACCAAATGATACTTTGATCCATAAATATCCTTTAATATTGACGAAAACCCTACCTCTGATGCCCCAGGACTGGTCAGGTTTAAAACCCTGTCAAAGTACTCTGCAGCATCATGCTGTTCATTTACTGGGTGGAGAGGGATAAATGGGTATAATTAAAACAAAATAAGTTTTTAATAATATGCATATTAAAAAATACCCTTTAATTTTCCATTATGATAATACTTAGGTAATTAAATGATAGTACTTCAACACTTAATACTCAGGAGTTTACACTGCTCAATCTTTCATTGTATTTTACCATTGTTGAGGCCCAGCTTCTTTGTTATTTCAAATGTGTTTGCTGTATCTTTCTGCAAGCTATCAAACAAGCCTTTAAGATGATGATCAATTAATTCACTGTGAGGACTTTCATCAGAGAACCTAAATAACAACAAAAGCCCATGAGTGATAAAAAGCTGCACATAGACCTAATTTGTTATATGAATAATGGCCAAAGGCTGACAACAGCAAACCTTGTCACAGCTTCTCTGAAGTCTTCAGTCATGAACAGCACCTGCAGCACACTGTTGAGGTAACATGTTGCTCCTTGGTTTATCAGTCCATGGTACCTAGTAACTGCTGGAAGGAAATAGAAAGTCTTTAAAACATTATCATGGATCAAATGATCAAGAATCGAAAAGTTCTTTTTAGACTTCAATAGTATAATTACATTGAAGCATGGAAGAGATGGTGACATATTTGAAATTTATGTAAGACACTGAATGCAGCATGAGAAGCCAAACACACACACACACACACACACACACACACATATATATACATATACATATAGATGTATATGTATATGTCTATACGTGGAGATATATGTATATCCCGTTTGGCTCTCAGCGAAGCCGGTCGCACTTTTTCTCCTCTCCTCTCCCTTATCTTCCCTGCTTAGCTTCTTATGTCCTTGTCTTGTCTTGTGCTTTTTTATTACTTTTCCCTGGAACACTCTCTCACAGTTTGTTCTCTAAAACCTAAAAGAGGAATTATGGATTTGATCAACTGGTCTCTGAATGCAATTGACACTCCTTCAACGAGAAGTCTGGGCTTGGGTGAGCCTGACTGCTGAAGATATCTACCTATTCGGAACCATGATAACAGGGTTCTTGCTGATCAGAACTGGCTTGGCCCTGGCTTATCGAACAATTAAGGAAGCGGAACCGGTTGTTCAAACCCCCACAAAGCTGCCCGCTGGGATTAAAACGATGGGACGAGGCGTGAGTTTCTCGAAATGGGTCATTGAGTGCAACACGGATGAGATCTTGGAGAATCACACGGCTGCCGTGAATACTCAGAACAAGACCTTTGAGTGCAAACTGATTACATCTGGAGGGGCTCGCTCGGAATAACACCTCTGGGCACAAATTGATCACATCTTGGGAAGCGCACCGCAGTCGTGAGTTCTCAGAACCTGCTCTTTGACCACAAGAAATGACAACACCACAGAACGCAAGTTTGGATAACATCATAGGAAGCTCACGGCTCTCCAACGGGAGATTGAGAGACCAGTGTCGGACTGTTAGAACAGCTTTGAAATTCTTATGAGTTGTTCGCACTAAAGTTAAAACCATCATCATTTCATGCGGAGACCCCATCAGCGCCAGCTGCAGTCTCAAGGCTGGAGCTGAACAACAACACCCTGATTACGGACTGTGTTTAGACTGTTCCTCCCATCCTATGCAAGGCCACCTGGGTTGGCTAGAAGACTGTTTACTTAGCCTGGCAGGGCGAAGGACACTGTCTCAGCTTAACTCTGGACACGCATACACATAAACACATACTGATATGCACACACTCATCCCCCTTCCCTTTCCAAACGCCTTCGATGCTTGTTTCCTGCAGGGGAACACGACGGGTCTGTGTGCCGGCTGGAATGGTAGCGCTGTGCAGGGCGGCTGCTGTGTTCGCTTCGGATTACTCCTCACCCCCCCACCCAACTGTGTGGCTTGTCATGTCTTTCACAATGTTGTGCTGTGGACATTTATGTGCTTTTGTGCAGAGTTTTTTTGTTTCCTGTTCTCATGCTGTCCTACCATGGAAGCACAGCATTAGTAGAGGTCTCTTTTTTTCCTCTTGTACTTTCCCATTGTAGTGTACATTTCAGTGTTTTTCTGTAACGCTACCGGATCTCCGACTTGTATCCCCATGTAATGTCTGTGTTGTGTGTGTAAGTAGTTGGTAGTTGGAGGGGACCGGTCCCTTCTGTGGGTCCTTGAGGATCAGGACTGTCCGGCCTTCAGTTAGCCATTCTGGATGTCTCTTGTCAACTAGCAGCGCCTGGTGGTGTCTAACTCTTCATACTGGAGACCCTTTCTTGGATATCTGCCACTGTGATGATTACTGGACCCTGGGAGGTCGCTGTGGTCTGCCCTCAGATCCACTAGCCACTGAGCATTGCTGTTATGGGTTGCGTCCTTCTCCCATATGCTCTTCCAGTATTGCTCTGTCTCTAGCCTTGGTGGTGCTGTTCTCATATTGTTCCCCTGCCCCATAGCTAGCTCCGATAGTTGGCTATCCTCCCTCCGTGCTGCGATCTTAGCCTGTAGCCTCCTTCTCCATGGAGTGTACTGCTCCTTGTGGCTGTTCAACTTGTAGCCAAGCATCTCACTGCTGCCATGGTCAGATCAGCTTAATAGTTTCAGTAATGGAGGCTGTAGGTATCGTCCATAGTGCTGCATTAACATCATCATGCTGCATATAATTAATTTCTTTAGTTAATGCAATGTGCATAAAGTTAAAAGATTAAAACTAATAAAACAATTTAAAAAAAAGATTTTTCCATTTGATTCAACTTTATATGATGGATTAAGCAGAAAAAAATAGAATTGTGCTAAAAAGGTCTATTGCTTTTAATGTATTCAGTTTGTGTTAGAAAGTAAATAAGTAATAAGCAAGTAATTACTTTTGAAAAAAAGTAATCAGTAATGTAACAGGATGACATTTTTGAAGAAGTAATCAGTAATAAGTAACTAATTATTTTTTTCAAGTAGCTTGAACAACACTGATCATTACACTGTTCACTTTGCAGATTTTGCCCATTTTATTCTGTCGTGTTTGAGGCTTGCTGTGGTCCTTGAGCAGCTGGTAATAGTAATGACAGGTATCTTAAAACAAAGTAGACAATACTGGTTATCAGTGAAGGGAATAACGGCTTTAAAAGTAACGGCGTTACTAACGGCATTTTTCAGTAATGAGTAATCTAACTAATTACTATTCCTATCGTTACAACACTGTTACCGTTACTAAGAAGAAAATGCAGCGCGGTCGCGTTACTATTTTTCAACAAACAGACGGTTGAAGCTGTGTTCAGGTTACCGCAGCTTATATCAGTTGCACGGAAGTAGCTGTCTATGTAAGTAACCTGGGTGCTACAGCTTTAAGCAGCTACGGGCGCTCCCGCAGACAGCAATCACTTTTTTGCAGAAGATCACTTTTTGGCACAACACCTGGAGCTAGGGGACAAAACAATCGCATGAGTGCTGCTGTTTGACTGAGGAAGAATAAAGTAGTCGGGGTAAGCCAATCACATGACCACCTTAAGATGACAAAGCAACAAGGTGATAGATACCAGTTTTTAAATTGTGTTGATAGGCCACGTAAAACCAGAGGCATGATAAACAATATATACGTGGCATTTTTTCCTCAATAGTTTTGGCACGTTTGTCTAAGGACAGCGCTAGCAAGCACTCTCTGCTTATGAGCGAACAAAAAACAGCCTGTTCGTGTTGGTGAAAAAATGTAACATGTCGACCAATCAAAAAAGATGACATTTTGTTGTTTAGGAAGAGGTGGAAGTTTTAGGAGTGACGGCGAGAGAGAGAGAGAGAGAGAGAGAGAGAGAGAGAAAGAGAGAGAGAGCAGAAAAAGAGAGAGAGCGAGTTTTGAGATGTGAGAGATTTAGCGCGTTTGGAGTGTGTAGTTAATGTGTTGTCTTGTGTAGTTAGTGTGTGGTGTTGTGGATAGTTTTGTGTTGTGTGTCAGAACAATGAGGTGACTGCTGTCCCCAGGTAAAAAACAGGATGAGTGATACACCTGCTGCTGTGAGACCAGCAGGTATCAGGCTGTGATGTTCTCCTTTATAGTGGACAAAAATTATTTTTTTGGAGTGGCACAAATAATTTGTGGCATCTTATTGCATGCAGAACAGCTGACTGTTATGTAAATAGTTTGAAATGGTTATTGTTTTTAAAAAAAGTAAAAGTCAAATGGCTGCAAATAACTTTGTTGTTTGCAAAACTTGTGCATAGGATTTTAAAATTGACAAATTTATATTTGCATTTAAAGTTATGAAATACGAAATATGATTCAATAAACATGTTTGTGGTTGTTACAGTAAAAAATATAAATTTTACTGTTTTCTGTTTTATGTCTGATTTTAGATCAATTGTGTTAATACAGTATGTCAAAATAAAAACATGACTGTAACGTCAGGCACGTGAAGTTGTGCTGAAAAGAATGATACCAAACAAGGCAAAGTAAATAGTTTTTAAAGGTGAAATGTAGAGGTCAAATCAAAAGTAGTAAAAAATGGCCAATTACACTCTGGACCCAAGAGGGTTAAACATTTTTAAGTAACGCAATAGTTACTTTTCAAGTAATTAATTACTTTTAGACTCTTACAACTCAGTTATTAACTCAGTTACTTTTTTGAAGAAGTAACTAGTAACTTAAATTAATTACTTTTTCAATGTAACTTGCCCAACACTGCTGGTTACAGTAACTCAAGGACCACACTTTTTCTTCCCTATTTACCTGCCACATCAAGAGCAGGTGGATAAATGAAATTGGGTGTAATGAGAAACCAAATATCAGTGCTTATTAAAAGAATTTCTTATTAAAAGAATTTCAAAGTCAGGAAGATTTTCATACTTTGGATTTTGCCTGTCTTGTCACCAGACGCATTGCAGTGCGCTGTAGGCAGACATTGTCCTCCAGGAAGCCTTAGCACTACTTGGATAACTGACATGTGTTGGATTCCATATTCACAAAGTAGGTTGAGGTCTCCATCCAGCATCTTATTTGTAAAGATAAGCCGCAGATCCTCTAATGCACACACACACACACACACACACACACACAAAGAGTAAATAACAAATCACAACAACAGTTGCCTGAAGGCGCTTTATATTGTACAGTAGTTCCTACAGTAATAGATACAGAGAAAAACCCAACAATCATATGACCCCCTATGAGCAAGCACTTTGGCGACAGTGGGAAGGAAAAACTCCCTTTTAACAGGAAGAAACCT